TCTCTCTCTCTCTCTCTCTCTCTCTCTCTCTCTCTCTCTCTCTCTCTCTCTCTCTCTCTCTCCCGCCCCCTCCTTCCCTCTTTTTCTCCCTTCCCCCTTCTTTGCACAAACTCTCTCTCCCTCTCCTTTCTTACTCTGTTAAAATGATACACTCTGATGAAGTCGCCTCTCAACCGGAAAATGAAAGCTCCAATGAAAAAGTTACAATCCAACAACAACAAAGAAAGAAACCAGGGAAAAGGGGAAAGCAGTGGGCTGGTGAGGAGGAAGGACTTAAGAATAAGAAAAGGGCAGATGTTTCATAAATATATGCAAAGCTAATCTGGGTGTGCCCTGAACACTTCCACAGAGAAACAGACCAATCATTGTGTACTTCCTCCTGCCTCACTGGTGAGCTCTACATTCAAAAAAAAAAAAAAAAAAAAAAAAAAAAAAAGAAAGAAAGAAAAATGTGGCTACAGGCACCCGCCTTCAACAGTCAGTTCTGACATCCTGACTGAACATCTTCCGATTGTCCAAAGAGAACAAATACATTTTCATTTCCCACTGCAAACATTTCTAGTATGAGAATAAAAGCTGCTTCAAGAACTGTGAAAGTGTTTTAAGATGACTGGCAGCTAAGTTAGCCAGCAGAACCTTTTGGTTTTTAACTCTCCTTGTGCTGGCCCTGGCATCAAGTTTTGGGCTGAAACATAGCAGTGAGCAACGCTGTAAAGCATGTTGGCTCTTTCTTTACAAGACCATATTGTATGTGGAAAGAAATGTGCATTAAAACATATGGATGTGATGGTAGGTATTAAGCATGTTAAACGCATGGAAATTAACCAGATCCGTGGCATTTGATGTATATATTTCGCACTCCTTTGCACATATTGTACACACACAGTGATGGCAGTGCTTTCTGTAACATATGGAAAAATAAATATTTTATCTGTGTGAGCTCTTATCAGTCTCCCGGGTCTGTTGAGAGGAGAGTGCTCTCCTCTATCTCCCTCTTCCAATTTTCTCCCTTCACTGGGCTCCCACACTCTCCTGCACATTAACATGCCTTCCACTTCTCAGCCTGGTTAGATAGGAAAGAATTAGTCAGAACCTCCTTTTGATAAATAACTCAGTCACTGGATCAGGATAATTTAGATCGCTGATGATTCTCCAGTCTTTTAGGGCTAGTAACAAAACAGTGCAAGGAAACAGGAGAGTGTCTAGGTAAGGGAAGGGGAGAGACTATGACTAATCACACAGGCAAGGGAGGGCGAGGTGCCAGGGCCACGCTCGGCTACCTAATAATTGTGTGCCCTAGGCAGATAACTCTGCACTGTGAACCTCATTTGTCTCATATGTAAAATGGGAACAACAATGCCTACTTTCTAGAGCTGTCGTGAGGAAAATGAAATGAACTAGGGGTATGATTAAAAGATGCAGCGAATGCTTAAATTTTTAAAATATCACAGTAAAAGACACACTATCATTAATCCTTTCAAAATACTCTCTCCTGGCTTGGAACATATTTACCTCACTATTCTTGCTACCTGCTGAAGCAGTTCTGGAAGTTCTCTTTCCTAAGGATCTTTAGTTCTGCTCTTATGGCTGCCCTCATGTCCTGAATTGATTCAAAACATTTATCTTTCATGGGCATTTTGAATTTGGAGAAGAAACAATAGTACCACAGTGCTAGATCCAGTGAATAAGGTGGAGAAGGACACACTGTAAAGGTTTTATAACCCTGGCTTTCCATGTTCACCATATTTTTTATCACAGCTTATAAAAACACGAAAGAGAATTTCCACAACTGCTTCTAAGTGGAAAGAATGAGAGGATAAGTATGTTTGATGTGAAGAGGGCGGGGTGTTTGAAGGAAATTAGGGGCAGTCTCTTTTTACTGTAATAGTTTTCTTTAAATTTAATACCGCACCATACTTTCCTTCACCTCTACTGGTGCAGAGTAAGTACTCAATAATGGTACCTCCTTTCCTAGAATTAGTTCTGTGGTTTCCATCATATTAGCTATATAATAAGACATTTCCTCTATCTTAGCAATCTTTTTAATATCTAGATTTGGGCCGTGAGCAAATGGATTGTTAATGTAGCAATGCAGAAAGGCTGTTAGGATGAGCAATCTCTTCTTCAACACTTTCATCTGTGGTATCCCCTGCCCCCTCACACCTTTCTATGTACATGTTTGTTGCTGCTATAGCTATTGTTAGAGCTCCTTGAAATTTAAGGTCAAACAAGCTGCACCGGGCTGATGGAAGGCCATCAAGCCCAAACACTAGTCTAAACATTGAAATTATCCTTATGGCACTCTTGCTTATAATGTCTTCTTACAATTTGATTCTTTCACTGCTTGGCCCAACATTCTTATATCAAATTAAAACATTTTTGTGATCATTTTACTTTTTTCAGATTTTTCCCGCCTTCCTGGCAGAGCTGACTTACAATGTTTTTAGTGTATTTCTCCCTCACTGCATCAGTCAGGATCCTGGCAAGATCCTGGTAGGTGGCACGTGCAAAAGTTTTAAATGGAGACAGTTTAATGAAGTCTGTGTACTGAGATATAGAAGGGGCAAAGGTAAAGGACCTCCCAGGGACAGAAAAGCACCAGTACCGGCAACAGTGGAGAGCTGTTAACCTTAGTTTTAAACCATGAAACTGGAGGGCCAGAGGGAAGGAGGGAGTTTCTAAACTCAGTCAGAATTGAAGTTGGGAAAGGATACAGGACTAATACATAGCCTGCCCTCTTTTTCCTCCCACTCACATCTATCTTGCTAATGTTTCCTTTTGGCCAAATTTAAAGGGAAGCCAGAGAACAAGAGAGCCTGGCTAGTGTCATACAGAGAGGTCTTCCTGGTCACATACGAGGGCAGAGAACGGTTCTGGGGTTTGGTTTGGATGGGTTGGCAATACTCATCCACATATCTGTTTTCCCTTCTTTATTTTTTTATCCCTTTACTCTCAATTATTAGTTAATGGAAGGAAAGAGCAAAATAAAAGAAAATCAGTTCTCTTCTGGCTTCTATGTACCTATTTTCTCTGTCTTCCATTTAGAAAACTAAAATACAAACTCGAGAGTGAGAATTTTTGTTTGTTTCACTTGATACCATATCCCTAGTGCCTAGAATAGCACATAAAACATAGTGAATTTTACTTGAGTGAATAGACACTTATTTCTGCTGTGCAGAAACAAAACATATATTATTTCATTTAATTATCACAACAATCTCAGTAAGAAGGCAGGGTGACTGAGCATGGTTGTGCAATCCATGTGTTAAACTTTATCACTTGCTCCTACCCCTACTCCTAAGACTTGGGACAAGGCCCACAGAATTATAAACCACCCAGAAAGAGACACCCTTTGCAAATAGTTTGTATTTTTATGGTCTTTGTACCTAATTGATTTTCGTGACTAGCAAGTCTCTAAGTTTTATTATTATTTCACTTTACATGTAATGAAGCCAAGTTTCTGCACAGAAGACATTGCAAGGGTTACTATAATCCAATTTGTCCATTCTCTAGGCCCATGAGAAGTGAAAATACACTGGCACTCTGTACAGTGAAATTCTCCTTAGGGTGGAAGCAGATGGTCCTTTGTGGGCTTCCCTGAAATTTCCCACACACATCAGATCCTGATTCCTGGATCTTGATCTGGGCTCTCTGAAGCACAGGTGGGCAGGACTATTTCCCTCCCAGTGGACACAGAAATCTTGAAACCGGTCTGCAATCTAGTATGTTGGCTGTGCTCTTTTTTCAGTAAATGCTCAGAAAACTAGTGAGATGTGAAAATTTCTATGAGACTTCTTACACTTGAACTTAAGAATGAATGATGGTATCATTTAAGTAAGTTCCTTCTGTGCATGTGGAAGAAAATATATTTTCGATCTTCTCTCAAGTCTTTAGCCCCAAGTTATTTCGACCTGTTTATACCTCAGTACTCTGAAGGTTTCATCCTTGACCAGGCTGAGCAGGCCTGCCTATCACCTACACATCAGATACCATCAATTATTATCCAGGAAACCGAAAGCATTAGAGGGAAAAAGGGTCAAACATTAAAATAAAACTCTGACTTCCTTCTTCTGGGTTTGACTGATGACAGAACAGCTAAAGATATAGAAAATATGTATTTGTTTGTTTGTTTCGGGCCGGGGATCGAACTCAGGTCACTGTACTTGCGAGGCAGGCAGCAGCACCAGTGAGCTCAATCTCCAGCCCAATATAGAAAATATGCATGTGAAAGTCCTACCTAACATCTAAGAGGAATGTTAGCCTTCCAGGTTTAGTGTTTTCCAGTAACAGAGATGTCTGTAAAACACCATCCCATTACCTGCCTCATACCATATGGGAAAACTTGTAACTAGAACAACTACAATGAGTTTTCATCTAAAAAAGTATAATTAAGCTATTTTTCATGCATAGTTTCTAAAGAATTCAAATATTTGGCCTTTTGTAGTGAAAAAAGCATATATTCATCTGTTAGTTTCAGCAATGATTAATGAATCCTTGATATCAATCTTTCATCATTACTTCATGTAGTAGCTTGTCATCTCCTTCCCCAATTTATTTCTGCATCTTTCTTTGCAAGTTCTTCCATGTAAATATCCTGACACAGAGGAAACCAAAGCAGCTACATAGAGCTATGCATCCAGAGGACAAAGCTGAGCTGGCATGATGGCTTAGGGTTGTGGCAGCCCCAGCCACAGGCCTTGGCTCCCTGTAATATCAATGAGGCCACAGCATGGGAGTACAGTTGAGGCAAGTAGATACAGGCAAGCAAAGCTGGCTTAATGATTTGACCATACTGATACGAAATGATAAATTCCCATGAGATTCAAGGGTGGTACAGAGGGATGACGAGATGCAAACATATTGGGAAGGAAGCCATGCAAACGACCAAGAACTCCACTGCAAGGTGTGCTCAGGCCTGGCCCAACACGCACATCAGGCAAGGCTGCATCCAAAAGATGAATCCATGTAAATTTTTGCCTGCTTTTACAACTGTGTGTGTGTGTGTGTGTGTGTGTGTGTGTGTGTGTGTGTGTGTGTGTGTGTGTCTTTTTTCTAATTAAACAAAGTAAACTAAGGACCCTTTCACGGAGGCATAACATACTCACAGTAGTTTCCAAATAAATGGTGTCACTCTTCAGGTAAATCACTCCAAGGCTTGGGCCTAGTGCAGATGTTCATTGGGGCAGGGAACAGAGAGCGGCTGCATCTGGCACAGACAACAAACAAACAAAAATAAAGTTGTTTTAGTAGCGGTGATGGTAATAGTAATGATTTATTTCGATGGAGATGGGCTAAGGGATGTGGATGTACAATAGACTCTAAACTTATTTTTCCTGTCTAAGTGAAATTTTTAATTCTTTGACCAAAATCTCCCCCGTCTCTGGTAACCGTTTTATTCTCTGCTTTTGTTAAGTCCAACTCTTTTGGGTTCTTTTTTTTGTTTTTTGGTACCGGAGATTGAATTGGGTCCTTGCAAGTACCGCTGAGCTAAATCCCCGTCTGGGTTCTATTTTGAAGTGAGATAATGCCGTATTTCCCTCTCTGTGCCCAGCTTACTTAATTACTATAATGTTATCCAGGCTTGATCCCCTTGTGGAAAATGGCATTTCCTTCTTTTTAAAGGATGGATAGTATTCCTGTTTCTATTTCTCTGTACCTATCAATCATCTATCTATCTCACATTTCTGGTATTTTTAAAAATTTCTCTCAGTCTCTCCCTGTCTAATGCTCACTTCTTACCTAGTCTAAGTAAGCATACTCACTGACCTGGCCCATTCAGAGCTCTTGCCTTCTCTCCACTTTTACTCTGCTCTTGGTTGCTAAACTCTGCTTTTTCATGTCTCCTAGCCCTGAGGAGTCCAGCCTGAGGGGCTACAGAACTATTAACTGTCCCAGAGGCTCAAACTGGGTTTCCTAGGCCCTGCCCTTTTGTCCACAGTGAGCTCCAAAGATTGCTTTGTTCCTGAAAGTGCCCTTCCTTGGCAAGGGGACATGGCCTTAACCTGACTACTCCTACCTCTCAGTTTGCCTCCTTCCCTGGCTTGCCTTTACTTTCCCTTTTCCTTATGAGATTCTCCTCTTCATGCTCTCCATGGTCTCAATAAGCACTTCTCCACAGAGTACCCACATTGCTATCTTTAGCACTTGCTTGTCTGCACAGTTCCAGACCACAGTCTAAATAACAGCTGACTACTGATACATTCATTCATTTGTTCACTCAGTGTTCACACAGCATTTATTACGCACCTGGAAAAGATGAATAATTCAGGGTCTTTAACTTTGGGAAGTTTATTTCTCTATGAAATACAGGCTCTTCTAAGTGAGAAAAATTAAAACGGAATTGATTTCCCTCAAAGTCTGTTCTTTCTCCAAACTTCCTGTGTCCTGCCACTGAAACCATCTACATCCAGTTTCTTGGGACTACAACTGAGGAGTCATTTGTAATCCTTTCAGCTAATTAATTTGCTTTCTATAACCAAACAGCTGCCAACAAAAATTTTTTTTACCCTAGCTGTGTTTTTTGAATAAATATTTGTTTTCCATACTCAACACATACTTATCCCTTTGCCACCTATGGCCACGACTTCTATGAAAGGCCTCCAAATTGCTTTCACTTCTAGCTTCTTTTTACCTTTAAATTATCTTCCCACTGACATATTAATTTTCTAAAGTAATACTCTAAACACATTCTTTCTTTGGTCAAAATCCTCTTTGCTCATTGGATTTAATTCAGACTTCTCAGATTGACATTCAATGTTGCTATAATGTAGTCCCAATTTAATATTCCCCCCCTTTTTTTTCTGCTGTACTAGGGATTGAACCCAGGACCTTCACACTGAGCTACATCCCCAGCTGTTCATTTATTATTTTATTTTGAGACACTGTCTCTCTAAATTGCCCAGATTGGAATCAGACTTGTGGTCCTTCTGCCTCAGCTTCCCAGGGTACTGAGATTATGAGCATTGGCCCCATGCCTGAGTTGAATCTTCCTTTCTTATCTCTGTAGTCCTTTCTACACTCCAGCAAGAGCCTGCTCTTTCCCACAGTGGGTACAGTATTGTCTCCCACGTTCCAGTGTACATGTAGCTTCTTTTTTTTTTTTTTTTTACTTTTTCAAATTTTTATTTAAACATGCTTATTGTTTCTCAAACATCTTTTTTAGCTAAAGTTATATTATTTCCCATTACCATATTGGCCCATCAAAAAACATAAGATATAAGAATAGCATAGTCAACCATCTGAATATTTTTTTCTAGTTTTCTTTAAAAAACTTTTAATAAGAACTTATTTTACCAATTAAATTTTAATATATGTGAAGCAAACCTCATATTTTTGTATTTACTGATACATAGGATTAGTCAAAATAATGTCTTTGAACTTCATCAGTTGGTCTCAGAGCTCTATGGCTTAAATTGCCTTTGACTCTCTAAATCAGTCTTCCTAAATAGATACCTCTCTTTCCAGATTTGAACTTTCCTTTAAAAAGATACACTATCAATTACAGCTTATTTACACTTAGTTTTTTTTCTCCTCATTGAGTTTATTGGTACATTTTAGGTATACAGTACAGTTACATTCATCATTGGGACCTTGTACCTTTACATGATAGGTCTTGGTTCTCATTTTTCCCCCTTGTCCCTGCCCTCCCTTCACCCCCTCCTCCCTTCCAAATACTTTATTTCAATTTTTTCATTTTCTCATATTTTTTTCCTTTTCCCTTATTTCCTTTCCCCTACCCTTCCCACTTCCCCTAAACCTTTAGCCCTTTTCTTCCTATTTCACATCGTCAATTATATCATTAAGATCTTTTGTACAATTATAGTTTTTTTACACCGGAGAAACTATTTGGTATTTACACTGTGACTTATTTATTTCACTTAGGAGTATATCCTCAATATGCATCCATTTTCCTAAGAATGACTCTAATTTCTTTATGGCTGAGTAGTATTCCATACATGTAGCTTCTTGATGACCATCTAAAAGCTACCTCAATTTGGAAGCATTTCACCAAGGATGTGTCCCCTTGGTTTTTCTTTTCTTTTCTTTGGTACCAGGGATCAAACTCTGGACCTCACGCTTGCCAGGCAGGCACTGTGTCACTGAGCTATATCCCCAGCCCCGGAAAGTATCCTTCTTGAATCCTGAAGCACTTATTTGCACTATTTCCTTTGTATTTTTATGTCAGCTTTAATAAGTATTTGTGTAATTTGTCTTTCTTCTCTGTACACTACTTGAAGGCAGAGACAATTTTTACTCCATACACTGTTCGAGCATAGAAAGCAATCAGTACCCCAAAGTGAAGTTCTCAGAAGCAGCTTCAGGAGCACAATTTTTGACCCCAGTCTGCCCTCCCATCTTCTCTTCCTCTTTCTTTCCCTGAGATAAGCCACAAAAGCTAGAATTTGTCATGGAAAGTAGAACTCCCTTTCCCAAAAGCAAGCAGTGAAGCTCAAAAATATTACTGTAATCTGCCTGTCTGAGTAAGAGCTAGCCATAAAGAAATTCCCCAACCTACCTTGTCTGACAGTAGATCACAAGACCACCAATTCAGAAGGGGTCCTGCCCATAGCCGGGAGGGAGGAATGCTGTACAGAGACAGCCAACAAGAATCTGAACCGTCAGGCCTTGCTGGGTTTCTGCACTCAATCTATTAGTGCACACTCCTTTTATCCAATCACGTTTCTACACCGTGGTCCATGCTTCTTCAAATTTAAGCATAAAAATGGGACAGTTCACTCTGGATCTTCAATCTGAAGGTTCTTGTGTCACATAAGATATGATCAAATAAATTTCTTATGCTTTTTCCTTGTTAAGCTGTCTTTTGTTATAGAAGTGTTGTCCATGCCCCTTTATGATGGGACAGGGATAATCTCTTTTTCTACCTCTATGGTACCCTGTGTTATGCAGTGCCTTGCACCCAAGCTTGTGCTCAGCTGCTGTCTGCTATACTGAATTCAAAAAGAGAAAAATAATCTAGGAAACTGAAAATCAACGGAAAAAACCTCAAACATTATCTGCTCCAATGTTCTCATTTTTCAGATAAAGAGATTAAGAGAAGTGACTTTTTCAAGGTCATATCCTTTTAGTTGCTGAGCAAGGATAGCTAACATAAAAGGTCATAAATCCCTGAGTATCTGTTAGGTCTTGCTTAGCAGAAATAGGCCCATCATACCATCAACAGGGAACATACAGAGAGAGAGACAGAGAGAGAGAGAGAGAGAGAGAGAGAGAGAGAGAGAGAAATAGATTGGGGTGTATAGCCTACAGGATATACTGTGTTCCAAAAAAATAAGAAACTTGTTTTATTTATTTGCTTCATCGAACTGAATTGACAGATATTTTTTATAGTCAAATAACATCTGAAAAATGAGGATGGATTTAGAAACCAAGGAAGCAAATTTTTCTAACATTATCGGCAGAAATAATTATGGAAATATTGAAGTTACCACTGGAGTGATAAACATAAGCTCAACATCAGAATAAAGAAATTTCTCACATGTTGGAAAAGTTCTTGGTAAGAACAGGCTACAGTAAATCTACGGCTAAATTGTTACCTTATAGAAATATAGACTATTAGCAATCTTACTAGTATGCCACACTAATGCTTCTTTTTCTACCTAGATTTGCCCAGTAGTCTTGCTTTAGATTTGCTTCAATTTTCACTTATTTTTTTCTTGTTTTACTAATTTTGCTATAGAAATATAATGGTGACTGCCCCCAAGTTTGTTGTCATTATCTTGCCTTATTTCAGAATGGCCTTTCCCATTCCTCTGAAATCACACCATGATCATTCTAAAATTAGACAGTGCTTTCAAGATTAAAAAAAAAAAATTAAAGCTCAAAGGAAAGATAACAGTAACAATAATAGCTACTACTTAGTGGATGTTTAAATTATATCAGGGACTGCAGCAGGCATTTTTCCAGGTAAATACATTGCAGCAACAGTACAATGGGCTGAAGAGAAGTGACCCACCGTCGTTTCTGCCTCTCACAACCTGAAGGAACTTGCCATCTGGCTTCCAAAAACAGATTCATGTAACCATCATAGCTATGCTGTATGCCTTAGCAAACCCACTGCACAGATGGGGAAAAGTGAGACTCAGTGAGGCCCTGTAACCAGCCCAAGATTAGAAAGCCAGAGGATACTGCAGTAGCCAGAATTCAAATTCACATTTCTGAGGCTCTAAACCTGTGCACGTTTCACTA